TGTTTGTTTGTTCTTGATAGATTCTAAACCATTAAGTAGCTTACTGGAGAAGGAATCTGACCTGCAAAAGATCTGTGAGTGTTTGGATACACACATGGCAGGGGTTGGTCACTACCGAGCAGTTGCTCTGTACTATGGATCTAGTCATTGCCAGATAGTCTCGGTCTTCGAAAAGCACTGGGGAGGACCATCCAGAGCCTTAATAGAATCCCTTAAAGCTAAGAAACCAGAACTTACAGTGGCAGAGTTTGCCTCTGTGGTGAGAAAAGAGGCTAACAGGAACGACGTCGTTAAACTGCTAGAAGAATACAACTTAAAATAGAACATAAATCTCCTTGTATAAAATGAATTTGTAGAGTCATTTTAGATGCTTTTTCATCTTTAACAGTATTAAAATACTTTTATAGGAAATGTAAAGGTGCAAATAAGATCACGTTGTATGTCGATAAGTCCAAGATGAGGTCTTCAGTACAGGAGGAGATAGTCAGTGGTGAGAAGTGATCTGAACGGATTAGTTGACGCTAAACGTTAGAGGGAAAGAAATTTCTGAATGCAGGTCCAGTGTCACAAAGAGGAGAAACTCTAGACTGCACTGACTCCGAGGATGGCCTTCCTAAATTCCTCAGTTTAGCCATACACATTCTATCTTCAAGTCGGCAGAATCTTGAGGGTATCTGACAGAAAAGGCTCGCTGTTATTATATCATTCGTAACATAGCCCTACTGAGACTGTTATTTTTTCGTTATTAAGAACATTCCTTTTGTAATTCTTTTATTGATTTATTTTATTTTTTATAGATCTATTTTTGTTCAATTTGTATTTAAGTGTGAATCGAAAGGAAGTCTCTCTAAAACAAACATGTGAAAAAAAAAACAAAAAAAAAACTGAAAGACAAACAACATAAACAGAAAACTGGACCGAAAAGTTACCAAAGAAACACGGTACATGTTTTCTATTTCTTTAAGAGCAGCGTACTGTAAGAAGATGTATGTACTGTGTTGTGAGGAACAAGCATTGTATTGTAATTAATTTACTGTAATTAACTAATGTAAAGGTAAGATAAGCAGTGTCAATAAAAAATCGAATAAGGTCAAAATTTAAAAAAATGCAAAAGATAAACACAAAAAGTGAAGGATAATAACAACAACAACAACAAAAACAATTCAAAACAAGAAACAGTAAACGAAACTGGTCTATATCGGTGAAATAGAATGTTGATTATAATTATCAGAGATGTCTGACGATGAGATACCTACATGTTTGCCTCTGTAAAAAGGCTCGAATTGTTATTTTTTCTGTCCAATCTTGGATATTTTACAGATCGCAGGCGTTATTTGTATCGTCACCTAATGCTTCTCCCTAAGCCACGGCTACCATGGAGACCAGCTTTTGGTTTGAGAATGCTCTTTTTGTTAACATTTGGCCCTTTAAAGATGGCTAACTTGACTGATCTTTTACTTAGGACCGTTAATCATTTAGTGGACTCGGGCTGGGCCCTCGTAATTAAACTATTACATGATAGAAATTTTGAGCTCATAATCTAATTGTTAAATAGGCAAGCGAAAAAATGTAAATATATATATACTGTATCGATAAACTGTTATTGCGTTTTCCCCTTGTGACTGACGCACCATGTAACTCTGAAACATAGAAATCGAAAAAAAAAGGACACGATTCTGAATCAGTAATTGCCCATCTTGCTATAACTGTTCTTCCGGTAAAATAAATCGCTTTATGGCAATAAGAGATCGACGGTAAACAAAGTGTCTACGGCTGATAATTTTGGGGCATAAATAGAGATAAAAACGCATAGGAAACTGTCCAATTACAATTCAGTTGTAATCTATTAATTTGTCATGTTCCTTATTCAAACGTCATTATTATTTTTTTAAAAAAAGGAAAAGTGACGAAATTTCTTGTTATTGATTTAATAATAATACACTTGAAAAAAATTACTCGATTCTGATTGGCTAAGAGCGTGCAGTTCAAGGGTAACACCAGTGCAAAAAGTGTAACACCAGCGGAAATTACGAGATCACCAGAACCCTTCCGAACGGTAAACGAATATCAGCCAAACAGCCAAACAGTCAAATATTTTCGAACACCCTCAGTTCAACAATCACCCGAACCCTTCCGAAGATTACCGAACATCACCCGTAAATTACCGAAAATTTTCCAACATTATCTGACGTTTTCCGAATAGTTTCAATCATTAGTGTACAGCAAAGACCCTAATTAGTCTATTTTCGAGTGTGTTATGATCAAGTAATCATATGACTATTCCCGTGCAATAAATAAGCACTTGTGAATTTTTCGAATTCTACAATCTGCACTCACCCTATGAGCCCTTGCAATTTAGCCTTTCAAAGATTTACTCGTGCTTATTCATTCCAAATTGCGTCGAAATCATGTGATTATCTGATGCATATGTTTAGCCCTGGGGTTTAGCCACGACAATGGACAAAGATTATCTTCCTTTCTTTTTTAATTGTAATTATTTGTGGAACATTTTTGTTTAACGCGTTGTCCTGGTCGATCGAGCGATCGATGTCTAATAAAAACAACTCGCTGAACCGGAGGCAGTAAATTAGCATTTGTGCATTATTCGGAGTATGCAGCCTATTCGCACATTGTTTTTGCTAACGGTCTAATTCCACTCTTGTGGCTAGCGCATTTTCTGTTCGAAATGAAGCTTTTTACCTGTGAGCACAAACCCGTGACACATGAAAGCAAATTTTTAACAGAGTTTTGTGAACGACGATTTTCAAATCTCCGCAGTAACTGACCTTCATAGCTAAACTACAACCTGCGAGCAGGCTCTTCACATGGCAACTTCTCTTTCTCCTTTTGTTCTTTCTTTCCCCACAAAGAACCTCTTCGCAGGCTAAAAATTTTTTCCTCCAAAGGGACATAACATTGCACTACACACCGCTACACGAACCACTCGTTTAGGCAAACGCAGCCAGACATACACGCTCCATCCATGCATCTGGAAACAGTCGAAAACTGTTTGGCTGTCTAAAAAGTTCCAAACTTACCAGAAGATTCAAAGCCGCTGTGCCTTTAAATTTGCCTTTTGCACTTCGATGGTCTTGGAACTAAAATCTCGAATGCCAGGAAGCCTCAGCCTTAAAATATATACCGAAGCATGATTGCAGCCACGTTACTGATAGTTTATAGATTCCGACGATAATTTATACAGAATGTGTGGACAATTGGCTTTATGCTTTGATTGTTTTGTCACGCATTCAGGTACGTTCTGTTTACAAGCTTACAAAGGTAGCTTCACAGAAATATTTTATATCAATAAAATACTTGTTAGTCACAAGGAAATTAACATATCTGGGGTCTCAGGCAGGTTCGGCGGCTGTTAAACTCAGGATTAAAGGGCGTTCGACGAAGCTTACGCTAAAACCAGTAAAAGAAAACCATAATTCTACCTTCTAATTGTTTTGTAAAAGTGCCATATTTTGAACGAAGGCTATCCCTGTGGCTGACCTTTGTAGAAATTGAGGACATTTAAACCGTAGGATGTAATACAATTTTCACTTTATACAACTACATTTTTATGTGTGGCACCTCTCACAGATGCTTATATCCTCGCTAAATGCCTACTAGTTCGACTCGGATTTCTCTTTAGTAAGTGCTCTGATATCTCATTGAGCTAATGGTCTTGAACGGTTGATATATTCAGCAGACTATGATGTAGCATAGTTTACAAGCGTCAGAGATTTCGTGCATACATTTCGAACTGTGGCTGTTTCAATGAAATCCATATCACTGTCAGTCGATGAAATCTACTTAAAGATTGTTCGTGTCCAAGATAGTCCTGTGAAATTTTTGTGAAGTTTGTCTCCTTCTCTCAAGACTGAGCAATTTTCTCCTGGTATCACGTTTCATCGATTATGCGGTATATGTTAGGGATTGTTCATAGTCTGTTATGGCGGGAAACAACTGTAACTGAAAGAAACAGCGAAACAGTGAGCGTGCTCCCTTGGTTCACAACATTTTAGATTACCAGTACCCCCAGGTCAAATTTTTGGTCAATCTCCGTTTTAATATAAAGTTGTATGTTATTGTTAATAATTGTCTTAGATTTGCATGTGTGACATTTACCTCCGTCACGTGATCGAATCAATTTTCGCTGGTTCAATTGGCTTCTTTTTCAGACTAAAATAACAATTAGTCAAAGTTACTCTTCAAATACTAGTGTCAACTTTTACAAACCGTAACGCCAATAAAGTACAACATATCAAAGCATTAATTATGGCTCATAACAAAACGGACTCAAACTACATGCCCTACATGGCGAATTTTCGTGGTCTGCGTAACAGATAGTACTTATTTTTTGGAAATAAATCCATCGAAATTACAACCGAAGATTAGAACTTTCTCCAGCTTCGCTTTTGTCTTGAAGATTCACATCCGCAATCACAGCGATCCCAGTGCAGCGCGCTCAACGTCTGACGCACAAGGTGTTTTGTACGTGATAGTAATATAATGAACTAAAGGCATTAGCGTTGCATGTTATGGCCGAGACATCACACAAAGCTCATGTTTGCGATCGGGTCGTTTTTATTCTCTCCCTATCCTGACACTGTTAAACGAACGTGCTCACCTGACACCTTGATATTGGCTAAAAAAGTTTGTTATTTCACCTTATTTATGGCCTCTTTGACGCTACCATAACTCGCTCCAGTAGGAAAGTGTCGGACGTGT